GCCGCCACCGCCGCCACCGCCGCCGCCGCCGCCGCCGCCGCCGCTACCACCACCACCAGCCCCGCCGCTTCCTAGCAAGCTCACTGCTGCCCAAAAGCTCCCAGCCAGGGAACTCCACCAGCCTATTTATCTGAGCCCCGGGAAAGCTCCGTGACGTAGCTGCCCATATATGGACAGACAAAGCCCAGCCGAAGGGGCGCGACGTCACAATGGAAGCTCCTCACAATGGAACATTAGAAAGCAGGAAGCGGGCCGCAGCCAACATGCGGCGCCCGCAACGCTCGCGGATCTTAAGAAAATGAGAGAAAGAGAGAAATAAAAGAGAAGAAAGAAGGAAAATTCGAGAGGAGAGAGGAAAGAGGGAAGCAACTGAACGCAAAGCGTAAAGCGCGCAGCGCGGAGTTGGAAAAGCAATAACCGCCTGTGTGTTTATTTTAGGTCCGCACTACGAGAGCGCACTTGTACCGCGGGGGGCGGGGGGGGGCTGGAGTTGTTTGCAAGTGGCCTCCAACACCCCAAGCAGGGAGAAAGGGAATTGGAAACACCCGGCGAGGTCCCTTTGCAACCTGGGAACTTCTGGGGAACCCGGAAGGTGTGCGCTCCGACCCTGCTCCCGCCGCTCGTCTCGCACCTGGGACCCGGCCTGAGACCGAGAGAAGGGGAGCGCGTCCCTTCGAGGAGGATTGCAGCGGGTCAGGGATCGCAGATCCAGTATCCCCACCACTTTCGTGCGGCCCTCACTCTGATTCTCCGCCCGAACTCCTGACGCTCCTGGGGCCCCTGACCCTGCGCTGACTCCCAGCTGAGCGCGGCGGCGCAGAGCTTGGTGGCTGCAGCGTGGCGGCGCGGGAGGCGAGAACCGCCGCACTTTTGGGGTAGAGGATGTGCGGTTCCGGTGGTGAAGAAGTAGGAATGAAGTTGAGGGGATAGGAAACATGTGCACCAAATCCCTGATAATTCCCTAACGGTTCCAAAGCACCCCCTTTGGCCACGGGATGGCAGGAGGGCCCAGCAGGCCCAGGCGCAGTCGCTGTCTGTTGCTGCCTGCGAAGGGCCCGCCACTGAGTTGCAGCGGGAGCCTGCCGAACCCACAGTCTCGGAGCCACCTCCTCTAGTCTCTACCCTCCCCCTCGCCTTCCACAGGGCTGTCCCCATCGCTGCCTGCCGGCGCCCTGCAGTCAAGGGCCTCCTGTTTGACGACCGGAACGCTGTCACCTCCCGGAGCGGCAGCAGATCCCGGGGGCGGCTGCTACGTTCCCCGAGGCCTGCTGCGGGAGCGCGCGCGGCCGGGCCGCGGGAGAGCGGGAGGAGAGAAAGGGAGCGTGGGGGAGCGACCCCGAATCACACCGGCACCGGCTTGGCGTGGGAGGATTCCCTCCTCGGTGGCCGTGTGGGCGCGGTGAATCCCGCGTCTCCCCCCCCCCGCCCCTCGCTGGGGAGTCGGGGTTGGGGGAACGTGCATTTCTTAGGGGGAGTGGGAGTGTTGACAAGGAGGAAGAGAGGATCCCCGGGCCTCACTCCGTGGGAGGGCCACGCTGGCCGGGGACGCGTGGGAGGAACTCCCGAGCTGCACATCGTGGTGGGGGTGGATGACAACCTCGCTCCCCTCCCCTCCGCTCGGCGGAGAACTGGGGGTGGGAGGGCCCGGCCTCCCCCGGATCTTCTCTGGTTCTTAGCAAAGGAGGGATTCCCGCCGCCCGCGAGCCCCCTCACCCCACCCCACCCCGGCCGCCGCTCCCGCCAGGCTCCCCACACCTATACCGGGGAGGCAACTGCGCCCCCGGGCTCTCCTCCGCCTGCGCGGCGCAGGGAGGGAGCGCTCTGCAGCGGTCCCGGGCTCCGGCCGGAATCAGGGCATGCAGCGCCTCCCGCCCCCGGCTCCCTCCCTAGGGGGGCGAGCGGCCGGCCCGGGGGCGTGGGCGGCGGTGTGAGCCCGGCTGGGCGCGGGAGGGGCCCTGGCGGCTGCAGGGAGGGTCGCGGGGCGGCGGGCCAAGCCGGGAAGAGCCATACAAGGAGCGGATCCGGTGACGCGCCGGCCGCGCCCCTTCTCCTCGATTTGGCTGCTGATTCCGGTCCCCGGATTTGCATATTTTGGCATCCAGTGGAAAAGGAAAGAAGAACGGAACCCGCAGCCTTTAAAGGAACCGCACAGACTCTAGCGTCACCTAGGGAGGCGGTCTGGGGGGCGTGAAAAATTAGCCGGCGGCTCTGGCCTCTGGCCGCTGAGCCTGGCGGCGAGGGAGAAGCGGGGAGCGGCGGGGACTAGCGAGTATCGCCCGCACCTGGCCCCTCGGCGGCGCTTCCTGCTGCCCGAGCACCCGGAGGTGGCAGGGGGTCTCCGCGGGTTCCTGCCCGGGGCCAGCAGACACCGCCAGGGCCGCGGCCTTGGGCGAGCGGCAGGCCACCGTATTGACTGCAGTGCCCTGTTTCCCCGCGCGAGGCACAGCTCAGCCTGCGGGGGTGGCGGGAAGGAAGCGTGAGACCTACAGGCGGTCCGGCTCCACTGCGGAGGACCCTGCGGCGATGCACCCCCTCCCCATCCGTCCAGACCTCGCCCCAGGAGAGGAGAGTCAAGGAGCTGGAAACCCTAGTCCTGTTCGATAGGGGCCCACGTTAGGAAAGGCAGAGGCAGTGGGGAGAATTTGGGATCCTTGAGAGCTTCCAGGACCCCAGAGACCGTGGAGGAGTGTAACCCGGCCAGAGATGGCCCCCAGACACTTTCAGCCTAGCTGCACTTGTCGCACCCAAGGAGAGGGGCGAGGAGCAGAGCTTGCCCGCCTGCTGACCCCCTGCTTATCCGTTGGTGAGATTGGATAGGAGTCTTTGGGGGCAGATTGCCTCCCCCTTCCTTCCTACTAGTTCTTGACAAAGAATGGGAGCCTTCAGTTCAATTAAATAAGTATTCATTAATACTTCAGGCGAGGGCAAATTTCTGAATTTCTTTCTCAGCCTCAGTTTCCTTGTTTGTAAATTGAGATAATAATTGTGCCTATCGCTTTGGAAGCTTTAAATGAGATAATCCTCATACTTACGCTAGCCCCCTCGCAAGCACTCCATAAATGGCAATTAATATTGGTAAACTATATTCTCCCCCACTCTACCATGTATCTTATGTGTGAGCATAAGTGATAAAGGGAGTAAAAAGGGCCAGGTATCCCACATCCGTGTGATCATATACAAGAAGCATTAAAGTTTTTTAGGGGAAAAAGAAAGGCCTGTTTGTGTGCCAGGTACCTGCTGGGCACTGTGCCAATGTAGAGATGGTTAAAGAAAGGTCCTCACTCTGCAGGAGCACCAGCCCTGGATAGCTGGGGCTGACATAGGCAGGGTACAAAGAAGTCACTTGGTTGCACTTTAATACTCTGGAGCATCCTTCTAGAGTTTTTGGAGGGTGGCTCTGGCTCTGGGAGTGGGGTGGGAGACATGTGCCCTTTTGTCCTTCCTCTGCCGTAAGAAGGAGTCATGCTGGGAAAAGGCTGCCTCTGCAAGCAGAGGTCCTCCCTGCCGGGCTCCAGTTCAGGCTGGAGCCCCCAGAGGTGTCCTCCGTTACCCTGGATGATGGTGGCAGACGGAGGCCAGGCTTCTGTGGCAGGAGGGGACAGCCCTGGCCATGAAGTGGGTTTGGGGTGTTTGGAGTGGTTGCTTATAGACTAATAGCCTTCTCCCGTCTGGTTGCCAAGCCTTGAATTCAGCATAGAAAAAAAGTTTTCCTCCTTCCCTCCCCCCTTCTTTCTTCTCTCCCTCCGGAGCAGGGGCTGAGGGTGATTGTCTCAGTTTTATTGGCGGGCTCAGGTGAGAATGCCAAGGGCCTAATTAATTACCTGAACTCCAAGCCCCGGACTTGTTGGGGAGCGAGTAGGCACTGGTTCAGGGCGTCCTCAGCCTGGAGATGGTGAAAGGCAGGCCCGGCCCCTCTGCATTGGGGCCAAGGCCGCCCAGCCCCTGGCTGCTGTCTCCCACGGAACCCAGCTCCCCATGCCAGCTGCATTTGTGGGGACTGCTGCCGCTTGCGGGGGGCATAGGTGTGTTTGTCTTGGTGGAAGGATAAAGGAAGGAGTCGATGTGGCCCCAGGAATTCACCCCCGAAAAAGTCCAGGTTGTTGCTCTGTCTGGCTCCTTATTTCCTCAGTCACCTCTGAACTTCAGCTCCCCTTTTTGCTGAAGACATCCAGTCCTCTGCGGTCTTACAAGACCTCCCCCCCGCCCCCCCCCGCCCCCGCATTAATTCAGTCTGGGGTGTTAGCAATTATTGCATTGCTCTTCTCAGAGGTGATTTGCATTTTAAAAGAAAATGCTTAGGGAGGGTAAGAAATGACCCAAAGGAATGAAGCCCCATGCTTAGCATGACCCCTGGAAATGGTAGGTGCTCAATGCTGGAGGACTGAGGTCTGACTGTGGGTAGCAGGCCCAGTGACAAGCAGCGGGAGGTCTGGCCTACAGAGAGAGTGTCTGGGGTTCCTCATGTCATTCCAGACATGACAAAGGACAAAAGGACCTGTGTACGGGGCCCACCCTGGCGGGATTGCTCTGGACTGACCCTTGTCTCAAGGGTGTTCCGTTGCCTTCCATTTTGGGGTGCCCCACAGGATGTGCACAGGAGACAGGTCACTGGTGGAGTCTCCCTGGCCAGCTCTCCCTGGCATTCTCGAGGTCATTGCTATTTGTTTGACAATGACAGCCAGCTGAGGCTAGGTGGGTTTTGCCTAGAAGCTTTCGGAGGGGAAATAGTGTTGACAGCCATGAAGACTTTTGAAGGTGTGCTCCTTCTGAAGCCACAGAAGGTGGGGCCATGGGAGCCCTGTGGACATACTTCATTGTCTTCATTCAGTGAAAACGCT